TATATATATATAAACAAAACTCATGCAGTAGCCTATTTATTTATTTATTTATGCGCTCTTTGAAATATGTATATCAGTTCCATACAACTGTGACAATGTTGCAATTTTGTGATAGGATTAGGGGTAATAATTTAAAAATCAGCCCCTAAAAAACTGATTTGTTGATAATGTGAATATTGGTGTGGATGTGTCTTATATTATTATCCTTCAGTGGTGCTTATGGCCCTGGTAGTTTGGATCTGAGGTGGGAAATTATAGTTTTCAGTAGTAAACTTTTTAAAAGAGATGACAACTGTAATTGCAATGGTAACCTGTAATTTCCTCAGAATGGGATTACTATAATACTAATTAATTAATATATAGTGTTTGTGCATTAGTTTATCACCATTTAGCATTTTTCAAATATCAAATAATACATGTAGATTTAATTAATGTAGTCATAACTGCATAAAATTAGAAAGTAATAAGAAAATACACTATAGTGTATCATTTCAGAACAATACTGATGCTTCGTCACACTTCAACATGTTAGTTACCCTCAAAAAGCACCAATTAGACATTCGGTGTAAACTGTTTATATGAATATGTAATTAAACTGTTTAATCAAACATGTTCCTTAAATTATACATATGGTTCATTTGATATTTTAAAGACAAAAGATTCAGTCACAGCAAAAGGAAAAGGTGTTACATATGATGGTCTACTTATGAATAATGTAACTAATAAAGCAATAAACTAACTGTTTTCTCTTTTAACATGTGAGAAATTATACTTGCCTAATTTTGTTTTCCTTTTCTAATCTGTTTATTTTGTCATGTCTGTTCTGTATGCCACTCCCTTTCCTCACATATAGTTTTATGATTCTTCATATAATTTAATTTTACGCCTAGTGGAATTATTACACATAATGCCACTAAAACCTGAAATCAATACAATAACAAGCTCCATAATAAAAAGGTGTTCCTGTTATTGATCAGAAAATATAACACCATACATTTTCATATGAAAGTGTCTACATTCAACATGCATAGCGCTCTCTGATCAAAAAGTGTTTTCTGTTGAGTTCAACCGAGCATTTCACGGCAATCACAGCATCACAGATGACATTATTCACTGTCTGGTATTTGTGGAGTTATCATAGCATAAATATTCATCCAGTCAGTTTGTGCTTGTATTATCTGCCGTGGCTTTCTCAGTGTTTGTTCATACTGATAAGCTGAAGTGTGAGTATCAGTATCTACTGTGTGTTGTGTTCTCCTGATTGACTTTTATGGTTGCACAGGTTGAGCGACCATGGAGTGGGCAAATCCAGCCACAGAGACAATGCTAAAGATTTCACAAAAGAAGCCTCAGTAGGACTAAATCTTCCTGTAAATTGTATACGTAGTATAAACAGAGAAATCAGCAATCTGTACCAGCAGATGAGTTCTTACACATTGTAGGCTGATCATATTTATGTTTGATAAAGAAAATATCCTCAAGAAAAAAGCAATGTGCAGAAGGCCACTGACATTTATGCAATTTGTATGCCTTTTATTAGCGGCCATGAACTTGAGGATTTACACTTTAATCTATTCCTGCATTTATGGAGCTCAGAGAAAAATTGGCCAGGTGTCTTTAAATGCAACTATACAACCTGATTTCACTGGAAAATGTAACTATTTTATGAGGTGGCAATTTCATATGAATTCATTTGATACGAACTGTACAAAAATTGTACACCCCATCAATGGGGTGTAAGCAGATTGCACAAAAACATGAATAAGTGACATTCAAATTCCTACAAATTCATATATGAATATGAATATTCTACCAGCAAAAGATGATATGTTGGAGGAAGATTTAATATGTAGACTAATTACTCAGTTGTTGAGTGAAGAATAGGAGGTATTAGTAGAGTAGAATTAATTAATTCATTAAGGAGTTTGGAGAGTGGACAAAACATTTCAATTGTCCTGAAGTCAATGGGTTTTTTAAAATAGCTTTTTTAATGGTTTTGAATGTTTTTTGGTTAAATTCCTGAAATAAGGAAGATATTTTCATGTTTTATTCTACAGTCACAGAAGAGGAGGAAAAGTTAGTCCGGTGCGTAGATCCAAAAGCAACATGAAGCCAGCAGAAAATGTTTTATTCTACGACAGAAAATAAATCAGTAATACCCCCTTTTAATATTTGTTTTGTAATTTTAAAGTTTTTACTTGTCGGTTGCTAACCAGTGCCTAAATGGGACTACAGATGTTGTCGGGGACATTAAAAGTCATAATGCCGAAACTCATCTACTCACTAGTCCGCTTTCACAGCCTCATTATGTTTATAATCTTGTAAACTATTCTAACTCAGACTTTCAGGGAAATGGTATCATAAGCTTAATGGTGGTGGTGATGTTGAAGTTTATAACCTATGTTTAGCTTTTTACTTATGGCCATAGTAGGCCTATTTAGGCTTGTTTAGGCCTATTTAGTCATAAAGTTGTGTTCATAAACTTTTGTGAGTCACAGAGATTGTTTACTGCAATAAGAGCCAATGACAAAATTGTATTGGGGTTTTAAGAGGAAGAGTGATGCTAATTTCTGAGCTGACCTAAAAAATAATCACTGCAGCAATCTATTAACATTAGGATGTAAACAGGGGAGAAAAAACTACAGAAATATGTAAACGCAAGTCCGATCTCATGAGAAAATGTAACTATTTAACGAGGCGTTGATTTCAAATGAATTTAACTGTATGATGTGTTTGTATGAAATCGTGCCATTTTAGAAAAAACTAAAACAAAACATAAGCATGACGCTCCTAATCGTCAGTGGGGTGTAAGCAGGTCGTACAAATTCATAAATTAGCCACCAATTCCCCAAAACGTAAAATAACGGCTATGAGATTGTGTTGATTTTTCTGTTCATTCCTAATATTGAAATTTTTATTAAATTTCCCAAATTCCCAACAGTTACGCCAGAATAGAATTT